GGAGGTGTTGTGACTCCTCTTGGATGCAGGATTTTCCATCCTGTTGCCTTGGAGAAGTTTCCCACTCTCCCCTGCTGCTGGGCACGTTGGAATTAAGGCTCTTGAAATGTTTCCTGGAATGTGGAATTGCTAAACCAGACCAGAACCCCCARTGCAGGATTTTGCCTTTGGAGTTGTGGGATCACCTGGGATGAGGCTGTGGTGGTGACCAGGTCCCTGTCGTTGTTCTGTGACAGATAAATGATGAGACAGAGCTGGAAGCTCTGTGTGCYGAAATCGCCTCCCAGCACCTGGTGACAGAGAGCCCCGACTGCCCCAACAAACCCTGCTGCAAATTCACCTACCCGAGCCTCACCGGGGAGGAGGTGGAGCTGTGTCCCAGGGGCAGGCACATCCCTGTGGGGTAAGGAGCAGCCTTCAGGCTGGACGTGGAATCCTTCTGCAAGCAGACCCTCTCCAGAGGCACTTTTGTAACAATCTGTGCAAGCTTTGCTTTGTGAGAAGTTGGCAGAACTTGGGATCACTGGGGCTCTGTACGAGCTGAGGGGGGCTCCTGGTTGTGAAGGATGGGGGGAGAGGAGGAAGCAGAGGACAGYGGAATTAATTGGGAAGCGTTGGAAKGCRAAGTGTGTATTGATCASTCTGGATTATTCCAAAGCAGGATCTCCATGAAACCCTTCCATGTGTAACACGGTGGGCATGAGAGCTCCYAAAGGTGTTCCTTCCTCATCCCAATCTCTGCCCCTGCAGGTGGGAGAACAAGGACGTGTACGCAGCTGCCATCCGGAGCCTGCGSATGCGGGAGCTGCAGACCCCGGAGTGCATGACCGCAGTGAGGGCAGGGCTGGGCTCCATCATCCCCCTGCAGCTCCTGACCACCCTCACCCCCCTGGAGATGGAGCTGAGGACCTGTGGCCTTCCCTACATCAACCTGGAATTCCTCAAGGTGTGAGGAATGGCTACATTGGCCAAACTGCTGTGGGACACAGGGAGGGGGGATCCTCCCATGGGAAGGTGGGAAGGAAGAGTCTCCTGCTTGTGGTGCAGCCAGGACATCCATGGGGAACTCTAGCCTGTGCTTGGACAGCCCTTTGCCCTAGGGAAGTKTATTAGGATATCACTGGATTCAGGAAATAATGGGATGGGGATTGATGAGAGAGGAGTAAGAATTTGAATTTTAAATAAATAAAGTGTAGTGGGGAAGATTCCTGAAGGGCGAATGGAGAGCAGCAGTGGCCATGTGCTCCTGTTCCCTCAGGCACACACCATGTACCAGGTGGGACTGATGGAGACTGACCAGCACATTGAGTTCTTCTGGAGTGCCCTGGAGATGTTCACGCAGGAGGAGCTCTGCAAGTTCATCAAGTTTGCCTGCAACCAGGAGAGGATCCCCTTYACCTGCCCCTGCAAGGACGGCGGCCCCGACACCGCCCACGTCCCCCCCTATCCCATGAAAATCGCACCCCCCGACGGCGCTGCAGGTACGGAGTGGCCGCTTCCCAAGGGACAGGGAGCTGCTGCTGCTGCTCCCAGCACTGTCCCAGCCTTCAGCCCCACTTTAATTTGTATTTAATACACAGGGACAGAGGGGTAGGTGGTTATGGGTGTAAATAAGAAAATAATTGTTTTTTAAACCATGTAAAAATAAAATTTACCATAAAACTTGAGCTGCATCCAGTGRGAGGTTCCCTGTCCATGGCAGGAGGGTGGAACTGGATGAGYTTTAAAGTCCCTTYCAACCCAAACTGTTCTGGGATTCCAGGATAATTAAAACTTTGCTCTGTAGAGATGCAGAGAGACTTGAGTACTTATCTGAAATGCTTTTAAAATTAATAAACATTGGAAAAATATTGGCATAAGCCTGATAGAGAAGCACAGGAACATTAAAGGTTCAAAATACCCAAAGCAGGCAGGGATTGGATTTTGATCTCCTCAGGAAGGGGCGTGGGGAAGAGCAGCTTTGGGACAGCAGGGAGGGAAGCGTTGGGTTGAGCTCTGAACGCTGGTGGTGCCTCTCTGCAGGTTCCCCGGACTCGCGGTACATCCGAGTGGAGACGTGCATGTTCATGATCAAGCTCCCGCAGTACTCCTCGCTGGACATCATGCTGGAAAAGCTCCGCTACGCCATCCACTACCGGGAGGACCCGCTCAGCGGCTGAGCAGGAGCAGGGAACGCCTGGAGGTGACTCCGTGACTCTGCCCAGTGGAACCCCTTCAGTTCCCGTCCAGCGCCTCCCGTGGGACGAGCTGGGGGTTCATTTATTTCCTGACCTTTCGTTCCCATGACAGTAATTCCCGGAAGACTTCCATTTTGTATTCGTAGACTTTGTGGTGGACTGGTTCTTTTGCTGCCTTGTTTGTGGAATCTTTGTAGGATAGTTTAGTAAAGACCGGTTTGTGTATAATTTAATTTGGGAAAAAAACCTTTCCACCTGTACATTTCTAATTTTGTAATCCAGAGCGGTCTGCCCCGTGCGAACACCACCGGCAGGGAGGGCATTCCGAGGCCGGGAGCCCTCGGAGGGGAAGGCTCATGGATCACTCTCCCCTGAGAGGTTTTTGAGTACAAAAATGCTGAGTTTGGGTGTGGGGAGGGAATCGATGCAGGAGCAGAGCACGGGTAGGATTTGTGGCACTTGCTTGAGGTTTAAAGCAGGAACTTTGCTGCCAAACTGCTTTTCCACCTTTCCACCACTTTCCTTGAAGTTTTTTTAAACTCTGACCAAGCACACGGGGGCTGCCACAGGGAACTGGGGGATTCAGCTCAACACTTTTGGGATTTACAATAGAGCAGTGAAAGGGCCGTGATTCCATTGGGTTCCTGCCCTAGATGTTCTTGAATGTCTGCTTTGCTTAGCAACAAAATAATTTATTGTAATTAAAATATGAGCAGAACAAAATGGCTTCTCTCCAAAGGGTGTAAGATACCACAGTCCATCCCAAAAATCCAYGACTTTATCCCATTTTCCAACGAGCTCTGAGAACAACCGAGTGGTGCTCAAACACATGGAACTCATTTTTGTACTCAAAAATCTTCGATCCAAGAGCAAATTATCCTCAAAACCGTGACCCCCGGCAGGAGGACGAAGTCRCCCGTTGGAAGATAAATCTTCTGTTCTGTGTGGAAAGCCGGGAGCCACCTGCGGAGCGGGAACAACGCCCCGTTTCACTGGTGTTCTGTGGAATGTTTTGGGTGTTCARAGCAGCCCCTCCATGGGTGTCTCATCCCTCACCAGGATTTCTGGGACACTSCAGCTCTGCTGATCCCTCGGATCCTGAGTTCTGAGGAAGAGACCATCCTGGAATCTGTGTGTGCCGTGGGCACGGAGGAGGCTCTGGATGAGGTGACTGAACTTCATCTCGGTGTCCCGACCAGCTCCCGGGAATCCCAAGTGTATTTATTGTACATTATTGTGAATAGTGGGAACGCTGAGTGTGTGGGATGCGGGAGAGGCAGTGTGAGTTAGGGATGGGTGTCCTTGTTCTTCCGTGAGCGAGTGGGAATGGCAGTGTGTGCGCAGCAGCCCTTGGTAGTCGTCGGCAGACGGAGTCTCCCAACCCCGTGGTTAGGAAGCTGTTCCCCTCCCATATTGCCCTTTCCAGGGAACAGATCCATGTAGGAAGAATATTTACTCTTGAATTTCGTCCATTTCCTGGTAGAAGCGTTTATGTAGCTCAGAAACCACTCGGAGCAGGCGGGAACACCTGGAGTTTACAAAGACCAAGGGAAAACRAAGCCGAAGGAGCGGCTCGGAGCCGGTTTGTTCCCGTCGGGATGCGCAGGAAACGTGGGGAGCACCGGTTGGGTTCCATGGCAGAGCTGTGGCCTGGGCTGGGCTCTCTCTGGGCTTGTCCTGGGTTCCAATCCCGAAATCCCTGGGGCAGCCGAGGGCTACCCCACAGGGCTCCTCTGTTCCCGAGGCTCCGCTTCCAGCTGTGAGTACGAAACTGCTGCTACTGTGTGTGCTCCTTTGGGAGGCACATCCGAGTGGAGCACACCTGCACCCGGCCCCAGGCGCGTGCTGGAACGTTACTTGATCCGTATTTATTACAGTTAATTATTTATGATTACAAATAACGAACTTCTCGTCGCTGCCGTTTGCACCTGGGGGTGTAAATGAAGCTTCTTCTACAGGACAAATGTCACACCAATAACCAACTTCCATCAAACTTTGGTTTGTTCTGGAGAACAGGATCAGCCCCACAAGAGGAATTGTGGGGTTTTTTTGGCTTTTTTTTTTTTAATTCCATGCTCCTTGGAAGGAAGTGCTGCAGCATCTCAGCTGTGGCTCAAATGGCCTTTTAATTAAAGCTTTTCTAATCATCCTTAATTCCTCGTGCTTTAAATGAACTTGACATTGTCTGTACTAGGCTTGTTTGTCGAAGCAAAGATTGGTTTGTGATGATTATTATTATTTTTTTTAATATATATTCATTCAGAATGTAAAATTATACTAAACAATGGAAAAACTCTGGAGCTGGGTATTAGTTCTAGCTTGGTGTGTGTCCATCTCGGTTCYGTACACGGCATTAACCTGTAAGTGCTCTTGGCCATCGAGTGTACACCTGCATAAAGGAGATTCTTAACATCCCTGGAGGTGTTCGTGTCCTTCTTTGGGGCTGCAAGGAATGGAAGGAATCACTGCTGGAGCTGCCYGAGGCAGAGGAGGTGAAGGGGGAGRAAAGRAGCTGMAGGTTCTGTGTTGAAATCCCACTTTTAGGGGTTGTTTGTGTGCAGTTGGAACAAAATGTAAGGATTTTGTACCAAAGGAAAGCACGGTCACTGCTGAGGTTCTTCCTCTGGGACATTCCTTGTGCCTGAGGCACAGCACAGGCTCTGCCACCTCACTTATTTGTCACACCAATGATTCCTGACCCACTGCACCCCGTTATCCATCCCAAACCTCAGGGACAGCTCCCACAGCCCTTCTCCCTAGGAATGGGAAGAACAGAGGTTTGGTGTCCTTAATTCTTCTTTCCTTGTCTAAATAAACAYATTTGGTGGGAGCATCTGTAAAATGTCTTTATTTTAGGAGGAAGATCCTTCCAGCCATCGTTGGGCTCCGGCTGCTCCRCTGGGATGGAGTTGGCACCTGAGATGAGGCCTCAGTAACCACCCTGCCCCAGGGGTGGCTAATTAGCCCTGCCAGKGCCATCTGCTGCACCTCCCTAATTAGGCTGATGGCCAAGGGTGTTTTCCAGGACCTGCTCCACTTCCCCCAGTCCCAGGGATTCCAGCAGTGCCACGGACCCAGGGCAGGGAATAACGGCAGGAATGGATTTGCTGGCCTTCACAAGGTGGGTTGGAACACATCCTCAGCCAGGGGCTGTGGTCCCATGTCACCTCATGGGATTGATGGCACCGCACAATCATTTGGGACAACATCAGATACATTTTATTCCAAGAAACTTTAAAAGCTTTTTAATTGAAAATGCAGCACTGAGAAGCCTTGGAGCCCCAACCCTCAGTCCTGCTCCCTGTTGGTGTCACCTGCTGTGCCTGAACATTCCAGGGCAGCTGTGGGTGGCACAAATCCCATCCTGGAGCAGCACAAGGAGCCCACATGGACACAGAACTCAGGTGGGGCCCAAGGTGAGACTCAGTTTGGTGCCTTGGGGTGGTGCTCGAGGAAATCAGAGACATAAAAACCTGGAATTTGCTCTCGCAGATCAAAAATAGAGATTTAGAAAACGGTCACTGCCTAAAAATTGAAACTGAAGGTTGGAATTTACTTGCACTCGGACCAACGAGTCCGGCAGAGCCTGGGAACAGGGCCGGGTGCTCCTTGTTCTCCACAGGCACWGGCTCACTCCTCTGGGTGTCCAGCCGCTGGGCTCTGGGCTTTTGCCTTGAGGAGGAAAAAGAATTAAAATACTGTTTTCAAGTATTACTTTGTAAGGGAGGATTGTTAAGCTCCTTGTCCTGCCAAAACCATCAGGAGCTGCCCCTGCAGCCTCACCTTGGAGCTGCGGCGCCGGAGGCCTCCACGCCCGTCCGACAGCCCAAGGCTCCTTCCTCCTGCGGTGCTGGAGCTGTGGGACAGGGACAGATTCAGAGGGGGTGGATAAACACAGGACAACATAGCAGGGACAGAGAGGATCAAGGGAAAGACCCTTGTGCCTCCTCTGCCCCTGACTCAGATGTTTCAGCAGCAGAACCAGCTCCTGTTTGGAGCCCAGGTGAGAGCAGAGCCCTCCATGAACAGGTAATGACGCCTTATCCTGTATTTTACCCCACTGACCAGTTTGTCCATTCTGTTTTGAGGTAAAAATCTAAATTTGTTGYTTGAAACTCAGATAAGCATCAGCCAAATTCAACTGGGGGAATCTGAAAGCCTTTGGAAACCCTTTCAGCCACAGGCACAGCCAAAGGAATCCAGATTTGCCCCATGAGAAGTGGGAAGGACCAGAAGGCAAAGGCATTACCTGGGCTGGGCTGGAGAAGTTCTGGAGGAGCTGGAAGTGAAGGTTTCTGCCTGGAAGTGCTGAGCAGCTCTCACTCGTGGCATTGTCCCAGCTGCAGAGTCACCTCTGTCCCTCGGTGTCCCCTCGCTGCCGTTCCCCTTCCCGGGTTTGCCCCGCGTGGCCGGAGCGTCACCAGCTCTCCCTGGAGGGGACAGCGCTGCATTCCCAGCCTTGGCCACCTCCGTCCTCAGCCCGCTCCGTGGAGCAGGGAACAGCCCCAGCTTCCCAAAGCCTTCYGTGTGCCAGGGAGAAACATCTCCTGCAGGGACAGGACATGGAGATTAAYGGGAACAGCCCCAGTGTCCATCCCAGCTCCACAGCCAGCATCTCTGAGGACACCATCCCAGGGATTTTATCCTCCCTCCCAAAACCCAGACTGAGGGGACAGGACAGAAGATTTTTGGGACAGAAGAGGGTAAAGTGCAAGCACAGAGGAGCTCAGGCTGTGCTCTGCCCACACCTTGGTGCCGGATCCGTCGCCRAGCCGGCTCTGGCGATTCCCGTCTCTGCCCGTGGGGCTGCGGAGCCGGCAGCTCCCGAGCTGGAATGTCACCTGTGGGGCTGGCAGGGCGCAGGTCACAGTGGTGCTGCAGCAGAACACACAGGGCTGGTCAAACAAARCTCACTGCRRTGAAAATTCCTGGGAAAACACTGCRGAGCAGCAGCRCTCRGGGACATTAAGGCCAGGAATTCCAGAATGGTGTGGGYTGSAAGGGATRTTKAARYCCATCCAGTTCCACCTTCCCCTCGACCAGGTTGGTCCAAGTCTGTCCAGCCTGGCAGGGCGATGGAACTGGATGAGCTTTAAGGTCTCTGGRATTCCAGGATGAGCTCTGAAGTTGKATCAGATCTCATTCCCAGGAACAGTGATTTTGCTGTCTCCCAGGAGAGGAGAGGCCCACAACAACCAAGCCAACTGCAGCTTCACTGGTTTGTTGGGACTAAGAAAGTGAAAGGGCCAGGACACAGAAAACGAGCGAGCTCAGCATTCTCCCATCGTGTCTCTAACAGCAGCAAATTCCAGAGAACTCTTCCCTGGGCACACACTCCCAGGGCTGSTCTGTTCTTACTTCCTCTCCCTTTTGTTTTACCCTTTGCTCCTCTCCCCCTGAGCTGACTCATCCAGGGCACAGCTTGGTTTTCTGTGTGACTCAAACATTCTGATTGTGCAACTCCAGGCCCTTTGGTTTCGTTTCCTTACAGGAGCGTTTAAAATAATCCAGCACTTTTCAGGAGGAGCCTCAATGTGGCACAGCCCTTCTCAACGGATCCCAGAGATTTGTGTAGGAAGATCTGACCCAGGGACAGCTCCCTGAATTCCTGAAAGGTGCCGTAAGAGCCCCAGGGACTCAAACAATGGGATGTGACCCAACAGATTCTGTTCTGTTCAGTACCTGGTGATGAAAGAGAATCTCCTCTTCCAGTTGGATGCCACAGAATTCACATGGAATCATGATGTTCCCTTCTGCCTGGACAGCTTGGGGCTGGGATGAAGGGACAGTCCTGTGGCTGTTGGATCCCCCACGGTATTCCCACAGATTTGGAGAAGAACTTCTCTTACTGAACGAGGCAAAGGCACTTGCTGGGTTACACCCTGTCTGTTACACAAACAACACAGAGAAATCACCTTTCCTGATGAGCCAGGTGGGAATTAAAAACCAACTTTTGTTGGCAAAGACCCAAATGCTGGAGTTCTCACAATGTCACCCACACCCTTTTCTGTGACAGCCACAGRAAAGTCTTCACTGCAAACCCCAAGGAAGACACAGGGAAGTCCCAAACCTGGTGAAGGATCAGATCTTCAGCAGGGCACAGCTCCTCACAGAACTCACAGGGCAACATGATCATCTCCTTGTCTGCAAGGGAAGGAAGGGTTATGCCCTCTGCGGAGTCTGCAGGACCCTTTGGTGCCATTTCTCCCCTCAGAAGAACCTCCAGGGTCTCCCCAGATCCTCCTTCCCACCATTTTTACTTCCACAAGAATTTTGTTTCCCACCTGGGCTCCCACCACACACCAAGGTCAGAGCCCCACTACAGCTTTTATTTCTTCTTCACTTGCTCCTTTGCTCAAAARGACTAATTTTGACCTTCTGAAATACCTAGATAATCTTTAACATTCCTAATCCAAATTTTCCCTTTCCTCAGATTTAAGGATAAACCCCACCACAACAGTGTTTATACCTATTTTGCTGTGGTTTGATGTGCTGAAGGACCCTGGAGAGTCACAGGAGAAGATTCTGGACAGGTCTGTTCCACTGAGATGGGCAGATTGTCCAGGCTCTTTGGTGTAGTCRTATTCCCAGAAATCCCTGGGAATCTCAGCTGCAGTATTATGGTGAGGATTATTCTCACTTTGCAGGCTGAGAGCCAACACATAATCCAGGTCAGCGTTCCAGTCTTCAGGCAGTGAGGAATGACGGATTTCAGATCTCTCCAGCTCACCTCCTYCAAAAGAGAAATATTGTAAATTTGGGAGAGTATCAAACCTGCCACCAGCAGCTCCCTTTGGGCATCAGACTCAACCCCAGGGTTTCACATGTGGGCTCTCCTGGAGTTCAGCATCTCAAAGCCAAGGGCTCCTGCACCAAACCCAGGAGGATGGAGAAAAATCATGGAACAAATTCCAGTGAGCAAACAACTGCAGTTACATTTTTAAGCCAGGTACTTTGAGATAAAAAACAGGCAGCAAGGGGCTTTCACCCCAGGCACCCCAGCACTTCTGACTCATACCCCATTCCATGGGCAAACATTCCCACTTGGAGCCTCTGGATCGTTCATTATTCTGTATTTTCACARAAARGAACCACAAAACCTTAYAGARGGACCAGCTACCAAGWGAGCARCCAGTTCTTYCTTCTTGCTCCACTTTATCTCACTYTTGWTTTCTTTGTGCTGCTYCTGCGAACATCCTCATGGTTTCATCCTTAAGGGTTGTGTCCCTAAGGTTCTGTCCCCGCAGTTTGTCCCACAGCTGCTCTAAATCTCCTTTTCCACCCCTCCAGCTCTTCCCAAGCCCAGCCCCGGTAGCGGCTCCTCTCACCTCCACCCTCAGTCCGGAATCCCGGCGCTCTCCTGCTCCCCCTTGCTGCTTTCTCCTCTCTCCCACAGACCCGGGGATGCTCCTTGAGCTCCTTGAGCAGGACGTTGCGGCCGCAGCGCCCGCAGGGCTCGGTCCTGGCCCCGCAGTAGAGCTCGTGCTCCTGGAGCTTGTTGAAGGCCAGCTGGATGTCACAGAACTGGCACAGCACGGGGCGCAGCGGGCACGAGGATTCCTGGGAAAACACAGGAATTGTTCTTCYCTCGTGGAACTCTCAGTTTGCTCAGCAGCGGAGCTGGCTGTGGTCTCCTCAGCCAGACCCAAAGCCTCGCTAAGGAACAGCCTGGAAAAAGCTACGACAAGGGGAACATAAAAACAACGTGCTGGAGCCACAAATTCAGCAGCTGAAGCTCTTCAGACACTCAGGATATGATTTTAAATCTGCAAGCTCTGCACAGAGTTGGGTTTTAGCTCCAGACCCCAAATCCAGTGGCATTCCATAAGTACAGCTAAAATCCACAWTGGTGTTTAAGGAACACACTCACACTGTTCTTTATCCCACACTGAACAAGAGGAAACTTCAGAAGGGGTTACAAATAGATAAAATACATGATATTTATAGATGCTGCACTAATAAATAGCGTGCACTAATAAAACATCATCATTTGTTTTACGAAAAGCATTACACAGAGAGAGGCAGGATTAGCTACTCCCAGGGTTTAGAACTGGACAGATTTCCAAAGAAAATCCTTTTTCCCTCAGCAATCAGCAGGCTGAGGTGGCAGCTCCAGAGCTGTCTGTAAAGGAGCCCACGGGAAGGGAAGGGACTGACATTTATAACAAGATTGTCTGTGACAGAAGCCAACTGGATTCAGAACTCAGAAAATCCCACTCTGTCCTATTTTAGTTTATTTTACAGGCTATTTTTAAAGCCTGTTTGGACAGATTGAGTTATTAAAAGTCAMATAATGGCTCCAGCAGAAACATGAAACAGTAAAGGAATGAAAATAAGCCAAGTCAATCATGTTTTAAATAGCTATTTTTTCAACTAACAAGGACAAAATATCACCAATTATCACAGAGAGCCCTGTGATATAAAGACCTGAGTGGCTCCAGAACCTTAAGGCAGTTTCCAACCCCTTCTCCCAGAGGATGTGAATTTAGGAAGCATCACTCAACACAAGGAACCCCAGGCTGGAATCCAGGTGTTGGTTGACAGAAAGGCTCTGGAATCAATGCTTAGAAACACCAGAGCATCCCCCAAGGGTTCAAAAATATAAAATCCACCAACCTCRTGGTCCTTCAGGAGGCTGTTTTCCATCTTCATCCTACACTTGCAGGTGACCTACAGCAAACAGACCTCATTAGATTAATTACCACAGTTCTGAGCAGTTTCAGAGCAGAAATGTGTTTCTCACCWGCACATGTTCAGACTCAATGTGGTTCTTCATCTCAGACTTTGGGATGGAGTCGCTGCAGTAGGGGCAGATTTCRATATTTCTTCTACAGTGGATTTCATGGATGATGAAATTAACTGCAGGAATATCCTTTTTGCTGTGAGAAAGTAGCTGAGGTTACTGAGCAGAACACAATGACAACACATCCCAAGAAGTTGCTCACAACAAAAAAAAATGCTAAGAAAGATTTCAATTAATTCGTGGTTTAAAGGGAGTACCTAAGGAGAAAGGGCCAGCCAGGTCTCAGGTGGATATGAACGTATTTAACATGCAAAAGTCACATTGCATTAAGATAAAATCCAGGTGGATTAATTTCCTTACGTGAAAGACAAATCCTGCAGCACATGCAAGTTATTTGCATGCTCAAGTTAATAAATTAGTCTGAGGAAGTAAAAGTTTCTTCTTGACAATAACTTGGCTCTGAGAGGTCAAACAGTGCTTTGGAAAGCAGTCAAACAGTGTTTTTTTTTCTACCTGACAAATCCTGTTCCAGGAACTATGGAACCATGCAATGAAGGGACCTTAAAGCTCATAGGGTCACCTTCCAGAGATGGGGCTGCTCAGAGCCCCAGCAGCAACAACACTACTCTGTACCCCAAAATTCCCCAATTCACCTCATTTTACCCCCAAATTGCCCAATTCACCTAATTTCTAAGATGCTCATTTTCTGTCTTGAAACCAAACACAGAAGGGCCAAAAGGAACTGAGGCACCTGAGTTCGGTCCTTATTCCTGCCTCAGGCAGCATCATTTCTACCTGGACCATCCCCCTTCCAAGAAATCCACCTTGAAAACACCTAAATCAATTTTATAACCTTTTGTTTGCTAAAACCACAGTGTTCAGCTTTCTCCCCTGCCAGATCCCGGGCAGCCAAAAGCCTGGCAAAGCAACAAAGTCCAACAGCAGTGACTGAACTGCCCAGACCAAACAAACCAGGCTGGTGTTGCAAGAAACTGTCTGCATTCTGATGTCTCTTGGGGAAAAACAATAGAAAAAAGTTAATTTCTGTAGCTGCTTGTATTCTAGACATAACTTGTGAGGTGACTCCTGATCAGCCACCGGATTCCCAGCGCTGGGGCTCTGCAAAGAGGTGTTAAATCAGAGAAAAAAAACTTCCACAACACCACTGCCTACTGATTCTATTTTTATATTTCTGTTCCTGAGCCACGGAACTGCTGAGGAAAAACTTGAAATCGTGTACTTTGTGCGGATCTCGCTGAAAACCGAGCCTGGATTTCGATGCGAACGCTTTGGTTTCTATTTAGTCCCCTACTAAGTCAGTCAGACGGTAAATCCGACCCCAAAGGTTTATAGAAAGGCCGAACGGTTGTGATCTTCGGTTATTTCACAGCATTTTAAGGAGTTGTACCCCGATGTAACGGTGGAACTGGTTCGGTTCGGCCCTCACGGACCCCGGCCCTCAGAGAGCCCGGCCCTCACGGACCCCGGCCCTCACCGAGCCCCGGTCCCGGTCCAGCCCTCACCGCCCCCCGGTCCCGGTCCAGCCCTCACAAACCCACGGCTCTCACCGACCCCCGGTCCCGGTCCGCCCTCACCGAGCTCGGCCCTCACGCTCCCGGCCCGGCCTTACCAATTGCCGCAGAGCCGGGACTCGGCCGCGGGCACGGCCGCGATGGCCATGGCTCCGAGCGGGCTCGCTTCCCTCACAGCCCCGGGCACCGGAGCCGCCTGCTGCCGCTGCTGCCGCCTTCGCCCGGCGGGGACAGCGCCGGGAGGGAGCGGGGGAAGGGCCGAGGAAAGCGAAACCCCGCGGGGGTCGCTCCGGGGTGCCGGTCCCGGTTTCCCCGGCCTGGCGAGGGTCGGCTGAGGGTGCCGGTCCCGGCTCGCCCGGCCTGGGTCGGTCGCGGGTGCCGGTGTCGGGTGCCGATCTCCGGTGCGCCGGCCTGGGTCGGTTCGGGTCAGGTCGGTGCCGGTCTGTGCTGCCCCGACCCGCGCTGCTGGCGGTGTGGGGTGTCGGTGTTTGGTGTCCCGTGTCGGGGGTGCCGCTGTGGGTTCCGCTGTGGGTGCCGCTATCGCAGTCGCAGCCGCTCCCGGCCCGCTGCCCCCCGGTGCCCGCTGCCGCCCCGCAGCCCCGCCCCGCCGGCCCGATCCCGCTCCCGCTCCCGTTCCCGTTCCCGCCCCCGGCCGCGGCTGCGCGCTGCGTTCTGCGCTCTCATCATGGCGGCGCGGGGCCATGTGCAGGACCCCAACGACCGCCGCCTGCGGCCCATCTACGGTACGGACCCCCCGCGCCCGCGCCCGGCCCCGCCGCCGCCCCCGCCGCCCTCCCGCGCTCCCGGCCCTCAGGGGACTGCGGTACCCGCCCGCCCGCCTCGGGCTCCCGCCGCGCCCCGGGGGTGTCCCCTCGGCCTGGGGGGGATCGCCGCCAAGGTAACCCCGGCCGGCGCTTTCCGCGCTGCCGCGGAGGAGCCGGGAATGGAGGAATCCCCGAAGGAGCGGCCGGAGTTGTGTTGGATGTTGTGGCACGGAGCGGTGACGCTGTTGGGGGGAATTAATTGGGAGGCAGGAGAGGAGTAAAAGGAGACGGCGTCGTTAGGAATTGTCCGGTGTTGTGGTGTTCCGCGGATATTTCCGAGGGTGTTTTGTGCAGTTGGGGTTGTTTCAGAGGTTGGTGGTAAAGCTTGGCTCTGTGCAAATACGAAAAAAAAAGAAAAGGAAAACACTTCCCCGGGCTACGGTGTCGTTTCGTCCCTAAAAGTGAAGATTTGATWGGGATTGAGGAAAATGTTCTTAACTTTTTCAGCGCGGATGAAATAACCTCTCCCTGCAGACGCGGAGAGCTGCCCTGGTTTGGGGCTGGACCGGCTTTGGGATGTCCTTTGCTTGGGCAGAGGGATGRTGCAGTACAGGCTGAGTCCGCGATGGGTTCCAGGGAAAGGGAGAAAGATGGTTTTGCTCGATTAGAAGTGTTCAAGTTCATTGCAGTTTGCCTTTACGTAACGATTTTAAGGTTTTTTTCCTTAGTTTTGCATCCGTGCTGTGATTGGCAGTTTCATTGATGTACCGTTATTTTTGTCATAACCTGTGTGAGAAATGATATTAAYAGAAAAATCTGGGTAAATTCAGCTGATATCGAAGCAGGTGATGTCGAGGATCTCGCCGTGTTCGTTTTGGAGAGAGCTTTAGAATGAATTTCTGCTCGTTCTGGAAAGGATTATCTGCAGTGTAAGGTTTGAGCTCAGGCTGTGGTGCTGCAGAACCCAAAATAAAGTGTGTGATAAACGCACGCAKCTTCCCCACATCATCAGCTGGGGAAGTGCACTGCGAAGTCCAAGCTCTGGCTTTCAAAGTGTTCCTGGGTTTGTGCCGTGGTTCCCCAGGATTCCTCGACAGCTCTGGTTATCTTTGATCTTGATTTGTTCTCCCTTCACCTGAAGGTTCAGGTGTTGCATTTCCAGCCTTTGAACATCCCCACCTAYGGTCTAACATGGGCTGAAGTTTATTTTCCTTTAGCTTCATTTCCTTTGGAAGCTGTTTTGGCTTCCAGCAACCTGACTTGTTGGGAAAACACAGGCTCTTCATTCTGCTGTGGTTTAGGGAGGTTTGAGGGTTATTTGATTTACTTTAGGACACCCAAAGCTGGGATGTTCTTGGCACAGCTGTTAATCCCAGACAGGCAGCTCAGCGTAGGGGATAATTTTTATGTCAGTAAACTGACAGAGTCTTAAATCAAGAAGTCTCTGATTTAAGTCTCTTTGAAACCTCTTCACTGAGAAATCTCCCAAGTTTTAATATTAAAGGTGACACAKGTTCTCATAAGTTAAAATCCCCAGTAAAGACAGTTTCTTGTGGCTTCAAACATGCAGCAATGTTTATTTTGGTGAGTGTGGAGAAGCTGCCTCCTGTGAGGTTTGCCCTGGGTGGTCTCTGGAGCTCCATAAGCTCAGCTTTAAATCTGCAGCACCCGCTGGGCCACAGAAGTAAATGTGGAAGGTGCTGAATATAAATCTGTAAATTAGAATAGATGCACAGTTTGTCCCCTGTGCCAGCGATTGCCAAGGGTCATCTCTCTGTGAGGAGTTGTATCCCCTAATGGGAACAACAGTTTTGATGAGGAGAAGGTGTGTGATGTAATTTCAATTAAATGGCATGAGACAGATCAGAGGCAGTGTGAGCAGCCCCTTCTCTTGGCTCGTGAGGGGCATCAGAGCTGGGTTTGGTGAGGAAGGAGGAATTTTGGAGGGGAGGGAAGAATGTAGGGGTCACGTCCTGGTCTAAAACTGCTGGTTTGTAATTGCCTAATAACATGAAGATCAACCTGAAAGTTGTAATTCGAGCTAAAAAAGGAGGAAATGGTCTGGAGATGGACTTCCTGCAGTTGAAGTTTCACTGGATAGTGGGATATCCCCCTAGGAAATATTGATGCTTCATAGTTGTGCCTTCTAAACCAGGCTGGTGGAAGGGTAGTGGTACTTCAAGGGGACAGGTTTGCTCTGCCTGAGGTGTGGGTGATGTGCACAAGCATTTCCCACTTCGCTGGAGTGTGTGTGTTTGGTTTCCAACCTCCTGCCTGTTAAAAATCATTGAAAGTTTCTCCCAAAGACACACCAAATTWATTTCTACTTTTCCTGCTGAAGCCCTGGAGCCGCATTGCCAGCAAAGAGCTGCTGCTGCAGAATCCTCTCTATTATGTGTCTCTTTTGTTGCTGTAATGATCTGTGTGGAGTAATTACAAAAGCTTGTTTGTTTGAATGACTAAAACCAGTGCAACGAGATGAATCCTTCATCCCTGAAATGACACGTTTCCTGAATGTTTGGCTCAGGAGGAGCTGCACAGGGAAAATGTGGTTTGTGCTGCTGGTGTGACAGTGCATGGTCCGTGGGGAAATTGGAGGTGSTTTTCCAGAATGGCCCTGTGTTTTGGTGTAACGTTGTGTGTGCTCTTCCTCTGCAGATTATCTCGATAATGGCAATAATAAAATGGCAATCCAGCAAGCAGATAAACTGCTCAAAAAGCACAAGGACCTTCACTGTGCCAAGGTGAGTTGGACTGGGGGGCACTGAGCTCCTCCTGCCTGAGGCTCGGGGTGTTCTGCTTTCCCTTTCTCTGGGAGCTTCCAGACAACACAGTGATTTCTGAGTGATTTCTGGGAGATCTGTTCCAGCTCACCTGAGTCTTGTTTGCCTGAAAACTACAGATGCTCCTGGAATATTGTTTCCAGCTGAGCTGGTTGTCAGCACCACTCCATGTGACCTCGGCACATGGGCTGGGCCTTACAAATGCCTCTTGGAGCCCTGGGSTTGGGATAGGCATCTGCAGGAGTTTGGAACAAAACATCTCCTTGGGAGGAATAGTCTGAGAGCAACAAGGTGAAAAGGTGTCCCAGGGAAGCTGTGGATGCCCCATCCCTGGAATTATTCAAGGCCAGCTTAGAGCAATGTGGTGTCCCTGCCTGTGGCAGCGGGGTGGAGCTGGGTGGTTTTAAGGACCCTTCCAACCCAAACTATTCCAGGATTGCATGATTTTGAAGACATTTGCTCTTCTGCTTGTTCACCACCCTCCTTGCTGTGCCCCTTGAGGAAGAGGGGTTCTGTTCCTCCCTTTCCTGAACGTGTGACTCTTTCTGCTTCTCTCATTTCCCTGGGACTTTCCCTCTGCACTTCCCACCACTTCTACATTTTGAAACCTTCCCAAGCTGCAGCGAGTGTCATTGACCTGAATCTCATTTTTGTCACTTCTCTCTGGCCAGTTAGAAAGAAAATTAAGGAAAATTGGCAGGGCAGGTCAGTTTGCAGCCTTCAAGCAGAGAAAACCATGTGGTGATGCCTTGGGGCAACCTCAGCATTCATTAAGAAGTCAAAGCCCCTCTTTGGTGCTGTTGCATTTGGGAATTTTCCGCTCCAATCCCATGGATTAGAGAAAAAAACCTGGAGTTTTGTGGAGGGAAGGAGGTGGTTGGGCTGTTCCCAGCAGGAGTGAGAGTGTTTCCAGTTGCATACCGTGTCTCTGAGAGCTGCCTGTGTTGTGTCCACAGGTGCTGAAGGCCATTGGCTTGCAGAGGACTGGCAAGCAGGATGAAGCCTATGCCCTGGCACAGGAAGTCGCAGCACTTGAACCCACAGATGATAATTCCTTGCAAGCACTGACCATTCTCTACCGGGAAATGCACAGACGTGAGTTTGTTCCTCTCCCAAAAATCTCTGATTTTGATGTATCTGATGTGATCCACAGTTTCGTGAGAGATGTGCAAAATCCAGCATTTGTGTATGTGAGAGACTGTTAAGAGATTCAGAAATTAAGTGTTGTAATGCCTGTAAGGTTCTAGTGATCTTCATAAAGCAAAAAAATCCTCATTCAGGCTTCTCATGTGATGTACCTGAGGGGTTCAGATCTCAAGAAACTGGTGAAAAACAGGAGGGAAATCCTGATCTCCCCGTTTGGCCACATCAGCTTTGTCAGGTCCCTCTCAGTGATTTGTATTTTCTGGAGTGATGGGGTAAAGTTTCATGTGCTTTTCTGAAAGGTGCCAGACCTTCTATCCTGCTTTTCTGCAGCTTGAACAGTTGTTGTTTCTGGGGAGTGTGGTGTGGTGGTACCAGTGTTTATTGTGGGGTTTGGTGGGTTGTACCACCGAAATTTATTGTAGAATTGCTGGAGAAATGATCAAGGGCTGAAACAGCTTCAGAAAAAGGTGTTTGTGTCAGTCTGCAGAAGAGCAATTGCTTATATTCTCCCAGATTATTTCTTGGGAGTATGTGTGGAGTTAAAGCATGATTTGTTGAGCAATACCAAATTTTTGTTGTATTTTTGACTTCAATATAATAAACCCCTGTGAATGACAAGAGCCCCTCTGTGATTGTTAACAACTTCCATTAAGCTGAGCTTTGTAACTTTTAGAGTTGTAACTCAGGAATTGGTGGGTGGGAGGCACTTCCACTTTCAGTCCTGCAAGAAAATTGTAATTAAATATTTTATATATTTGTGTCAAGGATTTATAAAGTGTGTGAAAGATAAATTGCATTTGGTTTTCTATTCCTACTCTAAGCTACAGTTGTTTTTGTAAGAAAAAAAAATAAGGGAAGATGAAAACGTAAGAAAGTTTTGCATGTTATACTGTCAGAAGTATTTTRTCATGATAGACCTGTTATTAAAAAGTGTAGTGTGAAATAATTGTTTAGAGTACTGATGGGGCAGTTGGGAAATAGCAGGATATGATTAATGTGAGTGAACCTGTGATAAGAATAATTAATTTGCTATTAGGCTCTGAAAGTGTTTGTTTTGATACATAATTCACGTGGAGCAGTCATTCTGCCAGCAGGGGAAATCTTCATTCAGTTTAATGCTCAAAAATAGACAAACTTACTTTAAAAATAGACCTAAAATTCTTCTGAACAGTGCAGTTGCTGCTGTTGAATTCTATTTTGATTTAACTCTATTTTGAGGTTGGTTTSGAGTTTTTTAAGCATTTTTCTCCTTTGCCTGATATTTGTAATGCCTGGGGGCCAGAGCAGCATTTCTGGGGCTGATGAGTGTAATTAGTTGCTGTTCAGAGAATCTCTGGTGCTCTTTAGGGAGTTGTGCTGTAAAATATTCCCAAATTGGTGTTAACTCCAGCATCTGGTTTTGGTTTAGCCGAGCTGGTGACTAAACTTTATGAGGCAGCTGTGAAGAAGGTCCCCAACAGTGAAGAGTATCACTCCCACCTCTTCATGGCCTATGCCAGGGTTGGAGAGTACAAGAAGATGCAACAGGTAGGACCAACAATTCATCTGGCCATTTCTTACTCTCGTTTTACTTGTTATGAGTAATCTTCCAAAAAGCCAGGCTRGGTTAATGCAGAAGTTAAACTTTTGGTTGGTTTTTATGGAGAGGCTTAAAGCTTRTTTATTTAGAAGTGGTTTGTCTGAAGACAGAATTTTTGTGTATTTGAAGCTGTGTTTTACCAATCTGTGGTTTTGTACTGACAGTGTATTCTAAAGGAATTCTGGAACAGACACATCTAGGGAGAGCTGCTCCCTATGGTTTCACACTCGATTCCCTCCTTAGTTTTCTGTTATCTTTAGGAAGAGAAATCCTTCTCTTACATCTAAAATACAACTTGTATTGATGTCCCTCAATGAAGAAAAACTCTAAAGTACTTGAAATATCYCCTCTGAGTTGGCAGCACAGTGTCACACTGGTTGGTTTTGTTTTCATCCCTTCCAAATGAGGTGCCTGGAGAATGCCTATAAATGGAAGATGATTTGCAAGGCCTGCGTGCTCACTCTTCTGTGCAAAAAAGCACAGAGAGCCAAGAAATAAGTGCTAAACTCCTTCTTGTTCCTGCTGTGACTTGAATTTTTGCACAGTTTTGGCTTAAATAACTAAAAGGAGTTATTGGTGTACCTGAAATGACAAAACCTCGTGTTACAACCCAGACTTCAGATGATCACAATCACAAGTGACAAAAATGCCACAGATAGCAATAATTAACATTTATGTGACCTTTTGTATGTCTGAAGTGACATAAAGTGTGAATCTCATTAAATTATCATTTKCAATATCAGTTGAATCAAATCATCATGATCAGTATCACATTGTCAGAGTGGGCTGTTGGCCTGTGCTTTTGGATTTAGGGTTACAAAGAGTGTCAGGATGGTGACTGATCAACAAATGAAAATAAACCCCAGTTTATTCCAGCTGAAAATCCTGGGAAATGCCAGCTACAGTCAGGGAATTGGCACAGAAATCTTAAAATTAATTACAGATTTTATGGAGGTGAAAATRTTGTCCTTTGTTACACACAGGCCTTGAGAGGGAAATGTGGGAATAACTGTTAATGTGTTGGGGAAAATTAATTCTTTGGCTCTGCTTTGATTCAATCAAGTTCTCTGCTTGACCTTTGCTTGCCCTTTACACGTGGAAATGACCCCAAATTTGGGGGTCTCAGAGTGTGAAATGAGTTGGTTGCTTGAGGCAGGGKTAGGTTTGGTGTGTCCTGTAGCTCTGGAGATATCCCCTCATTCCCAAAGAAAAAAAATCTCCTTCCTCCTGGAATTACCACTTCTAATTAAAGCTGTCATCTGTGTAGGCAATCAGTGCTCGCTGCTGTTCCTTGTCAGACCTACACAAAGTCCCTGGGAACATTTCCACCCTGTTTTCCTGAGGGATGTGGGTTAGGAGGGAAGAGCTCACGGGTGGAGAGAAATCCTCCCATCTGCTAATCCTGTCTGCTCCCATCTCGGCTGTCGGTCACCAGAGCTTGGAAAGAAATCTATTTCAGGAACGATGAAACTCGTGTCTTCTGTTTTTCAGGCTGGAATGGCACTTTATAAGATTGTTCCCAAAAATCCRTATTATTTTTGGTCTGTGATGAGCCTGATCATGCAGGTGTGTACAGCGTTGGGTTTGGCTGTTGCAGCAGGGGCAGTGCTGATGCAGAAATTTTCTGGGGGAAACACTGGAGATGATTTGGGGTAAAATGTGTTTTTGAGCTGTTTCTGTGTGATTCTCTGAAGGACTGAGCCGTCCTTGAGTAGCATTATTGTCATGGTCYGAAATAAATGCTGAGGTGCTTTTATAATCCAGTTTAACTGTTGCCTTGCCACTTTTATACAACCTGAATTAATCTCTCATCTGCACTAAGACCCACCTGTCGTTTTGGCAGAGAGATAATGAATAAATCCTCAGTTATCTGCAGTTTCTCAGTCAGAATTGTTCCTCTCTAAYGAGGTTAGAAAAGCTCTTGGAGGGAATAAATGAGATCTCTGGAATTAGCAGCGAATCTGCAGGAATAGGCACAGATCAGCTGTGCTGCTGCTGCTTGAGGCAGCACATTTGGGCACTAATCAGACACAAAATCAAACAAAAATAAGCTTGGAGGGCTTTAATCACATTCTCTAAAATTTTGCACCATGCAAAACACAAAAATGTTCTGGCTCCATGTTTTTACCATGAGGTTTGTGTGCTCAGACATGCAGGGCTCTGCTTGATATGGTCAAAAATGATTTTTTCTGTGTCGCACAAATTTTATTGCTGCCTTTTCCCAGATCATTTGCACTCTCAGGTCACAGATGGCAGCTCCAAACGAGTGTCTGGGGGGATTGGAGCACCTGGGTTGTTTTTTTTTCCTCTTTCAAAGTACAAAAAGCAGTGGGTGGGACATCAGAGAAAGTTGCTGAACTGTTACAATAATCCCTCTCTTCCTCAGTCTATCTCAGCACAGGATGAAAACCTCTCCAAGACCATGTTTTTGCCACTTGCAGAGAGAATGGTGGAAAAAATGGTGAAAGAGGATAAGATTGAAGCTGAGGCTGAAGTAAGGCTTGGTTTGAACTTCATTGAGACAAGGAATGTGCTGTTAAGGGAACTTAATTACTTTGGAAACCTTAAAATAATCAGCAATGTTTCGGAATTAGATGTGAATGTAGGGGAAGAAAAACTAAAAGCAGGGGGTTAGGAGGGCCTTGGAATCCTGTGGCTGAGGCAATTTTTTGGTGTTTGATTTGATTGATGAAGAGCTTTGCTCTCTGGGAGGCCCCAAGAAGTACCTGAGGACTGAGAATGGAAAAGAAAAAAAAGACCTAAATTTGAGTGTTGCACCCTTTGAGATACCAGGCCTGCAAAGCTATCTTTAGTATCCCCTATTTTCTTTTTTGGCACACCTGGGCATGATTTTCCTGGCAAATTTCATTGCAGTCTGATCTTTCTTTTAAGGTGGAACTGTACTACATGATCCTGGAACGTTTGGAGAAGTACAAGGAAGCCTTAGATGTTGTGAGGGGAAAGCTTGGAGGTAATTTATTCTTTAATTAATCAGAGTTGTGTGGAGAACACAGCAATTCCCCTTTGCTTCAAAGTTGTCCATGCATCAAAAAAAAAAATTGTTTTATGAAGTATTACTTAGCACCAGWTTTAATCTCAGTGTAAACTCTGGGGGTTAGGGTTAGGTTTTTTAAACCTGGTTTTACCCACCTATTTATGGTGTTTAAACACAATTCAGTGCTGAGCTTTGCAATGGCAAATCGGGGTAATTTTTTTGTTATTGTTGTTGTAGCTGCCATCTTCAAAAATGAAAAGCTTTCAATATCTGCATTTTAGGGGAGTTTAAGTGGATTAAAATACACTCAGAAYTGGGATATGAAGGTTTCCATGGGAAATCTTTCTGTCCCTGCTGCTGGGCTGGAATGAGAAGGTTTGTGCAGGGAACAGGGAAGGAATGCAGGATGAGCTGAGCTTTCCATGTTTTTTTGGTTTTTTTTTGCTGCAGAGAAGCTGACAAGTGAGCTGCAGAGCCGGGAGAACAAATGCATGGCCATGTACAAGAAGCTGCGCCGGTGGCCCGAGTGCAACGCGCTGGCCAGGAGGCTGCTGCTCAAAAAGTGAGAGGGGATTGCTGAATCCTGCTGAAAACACAGAGCAAAAATCTCTGCTTGGTTGGGAATCGCCTCGTTTTTGTGGTTAAAATAGCAGAATGTCAGGAAGCTTCTCCAAAGCCAGACATGGTGAAGGTCACACGGAGAGTCAGGGTCAGGAGTGAAGTTGCTGCTTTTATCAGGCACATTTTAACAACATATTAATGCAATAAAAGGTTGTTTATCTCCTTATTTCTGTATTCTGTGCTGATTGTCCAGCTCTGACTTTGCAGTTCTCATCCTGTCCATGATTTACATTTCATTTTCTACATCTAAATTTCTCCCACTTGGCCAGACTTCACGCATGTAATGCTTGGAACAGATGCATCAGGAGACAGAACATTCCAGTGTGATCAAATCTGTCTCAGAACTGTCAGGAGAGATGTGGTGTTTGCTTTTGGATTTAGATATCTCAGATATAAGTGAAATGCAGAAGAGAAACTTGTGCCTTCACATTTTGTGGGGATGGTGCTGAGCTCTGACTGGAATGTGAATTTTAGGAGTAGAGTTTATAGCTTGCCTCAGTTTTGAATTGAAATGGTTTTGTTTCATGTGTTTCCAGAAATCCAGGATTTTGGTGTTCCTAAGATTGGAGATCTTTTCAAGGGGAAACAATTTTATGATTACAATTAGGTTTTTTCTGTAATATGATTATGTGCTACTCCTTCATTCATCTTTGGCAAGAAATGCAGTTTTAACTGAGAGTTCCTGTTTAGGCAATTCCCTAAATTTTGTCCTGTGCTTGATTTTTGTTTCAGCTCAGATGATTGGCAGTTTTATATAACTTACTTTGATTCAATGTTTCAACTCATTGATGAATCCTGGACRCCTCCAGCAGAGGAAGAGCAGTAAGTTGACAGTTTTGGATTTGTTTTCCCTTTGTGCTACAGTGAATTGTTTGGGTTTATATATTCAACATTAGAGTGACTCCTTGACATCAGAACTAAATGATGTTTTCCCTGCTTTTATGTGGAGGCTGGGAATAGCTTGTAGAAACAATTTGTGCACTTAGAACTCTTCCAGTTCATGTTTTCTGTGGTGATGAGTTGGAGAATCCATCATTTCCCTGTCTGGGAGTGTGCTGAGTTTGTGTTATCAGCRGGAACTCTCCAGGAACCTTTTGTGTGTGTGATTGCAGCTCTCTGGAAGGAGAGGTGCACTGCTCCATCGAGCAGGCTGTGAAATTCATCGAGGAGAGGATCACGGAGGAGTCCAAGAGCTCTCGGCCACTCCGGGGACCTTATTTAGCCAAACTGGAGCTGATCAGGCGCCTGAGGCACAGAGGCTGCAACAATGAGTACAAACTGGGTAAGAGCTCCTGCCTGGGGGAGGAATTCGGGTCTTGGAGAAAGCAGGAGGTTGTTCCAAGTCTCTCCCTGAATCACCCAGTTAAATGGATTGTCCATTAGGAAAATGTACCTGTTGTTCTGTGTGTAAAGGGTTTTAAAAGCATTGCAAGATGGGCTTTGAAAAAAGGCAGGTGTTTCCAGAGTACTCCAGGGGTGAAAAAGCCAGCAGGGAATTTTTCAAAAGGACCTCTGGGACTTAAGAGCATCCCTAACACTGCATTTGTGGTGGAAAGTCCTGCTGTTGATGGTGGAATCTCTGGGTGGGTTTTGATTGAAGTTTTTATGGTAGCAGTGCCAGGTTGTGCTTTTTCAAAACTGCTTTACAAAATGGCATTGGGGGAATCAGTGCAAGGGAGTGTGATTAGAGCAACATCTGTGCTACTTCCTAATTCCTTTTGTTTTTCCATCCCAAAAGAAGCCATGGTGAGGGAGATAAGCAGAGGCTGTTTGTGCCTGCCTGGATTGCTGAGCTCTTATCTGCTAAAGGAGCTTGAATGAAGTTCTTGGGCATTTTTTTTAATGTGTCCTTGGTTACCAGAGACATTGAGCCTCTGTTAAAATCTGTAAAAGTGCAGCTCTCTGTTTTCTAAATCGCTGTTATCTTAAAGGGGAAAAAAAAAAGCACAGACAGAGATTTCTCATAGTGATTTTACAGATTCACTTGTGCTGAGGGCATTAAAAAGGTGAACTGGCCTTTTTTCCTTAGGTGATCCAGAAGARTTAATGTTCCAATACTTCAAAAAATTCGGGGACAAGCCCTGCTGTTTTACTGATCTCAAAGTGTTTGTGGATCTCCTCCCACCCAGCCAATACACAAAGGTAAGGAAATATCAAGAAGTTGTGGCAGGAACTGCAGTGGYTGTTTGCACTCTGGCCCCTTTATCTTAAAATACCTGTGGATCATATTCAAGGACCAGGAACACAAAATTTTTACTTTCTGTTTGAAATTCAGAGAACTCTTTGTGCTGTAGGAAATATCACGGACATCTGAACACTTGAGAAGTTTSATCCAGAGGATTTTTACTGGAGGTTTAAAGCTGAGTTTGATGCTGCAGAGTCTCAGATCTTGTATTCCTTTGGAGTTTTTATTCCGATTTCAAGGTGTCGGGGTGCTTTGAGCTCAAAGTTAGTGTTTAATGGGAAAAAGCTGCCCCCTCATCCCATGCAGGGAGGAGTCACAGATGCTTTGCTTGGCTCTGGCAGTGCCAAAGGAGGGACATTGATCCTGATCCAGGGGTGATGGAGGCACCTAYAGCAGTTTTTTCCAGAATCTCTCTGTGAAACAACTCTCTGGAATAAAAAGCCCATTTGTGCAGAGTCATGAGCAGCCYGGAGTGATTTCAGCAGCTGGGAATTCTGTCACTCACCCCAGTGTTTATCTGAGCCATTGTGTCCAGGGATCAGCGCTGGGGAGGGCAGAGAATCCGGGATCAGCCAGAGCCTGGGGATGAAATGTTGGTAAACAAAGTGTAGGTAGTGAGGTTCTCTTGGTTTAGTAAAGTATTTTTTGACTTGTAATGCAAACTTTTCTCACAGCCCCACTGCTCATGGGAGAGGTGGCTCTGGCACAGAGGGCTGTTGTTGATGTTTTATATTTAAAGGTGTGTTTTTAGCAAGAGATGTGGCCAGCAGGATATTGAACTCCTAGTCCTGGGAATGGTAATTTCATTGCAAGGGAACCCCGAAGTACTGAACAGGTTTCATCCTGACTTTCCAGGAARCAAATTCTAAACTAGGAGTGGAAAAATTATATTCAGTAATAGTTTAGACTACAGTTTTGTCATGGTGCTTGTAAAATCATGACTCTGACTCCAAAACTTTCTATCTGGCCTTAAAACTGCAGCTGATTTCCTGACTATATTCTGGAATATGTATTGTGTCAAGCTGATGTATTGGATGGTTTTCTGGCTGTCCCTGAAGCAGCATCTGCAGCAGTTTAACTTGGTCAAGGACAYGAGGAGCTGGGGAGGTTTCGTGGTGCTGAAGTGCTGATGAGTTTTGAAATGAGAGTTCCACTTCAGTAGCTGAGATGGTGGTGATCTTGCTGGGCCACTGACGTGTGAGATAGTCCAGAAATAATGGTCATGACACCAACCTTGACTTCCTAGAGGTGTAAATTGGAGAGCAGAGCCAGCGATGTGGTTGACCTTGCTCAGCTTGGCAGAGTTTCAAACTGAAAAGATCTGTCAACACAGCATTCATCAAATTCTTTGGGAAAACTGGARTTGCTGTGTGTTGTGCTTGGTGCTGCTCCTCTCTGGCTGTTSAGTTTTTTGCCTCAGGCTTGTATTTGATGCATTTCTTATGTGTCAGTACCAAGTGCAGTAAAGCTGAATCCATTTGCTTTGATTCAGATTTAAGTTTGCAAACACTTTTGGATTTTAGAGCAAGAGGTTGCTGTCCAGCCCTGCRTGTTGTGAGGAGTCTTCTGTCTCCCTTTAAAACTAAACAATGAGAAGCTGCTTTCCTTACAGTTCTATTCCAAAAATAAGTCATTAATCAGAGTTGATGACCTCACTGAGTACTTCACATTACTTCAGAGCTGAGGGAAAATATAACAGTGCAAAACCACCACTGCCTGCAAGTGTGCTGTGAAGCCTGTCAGTAGCTAATTATTTTAATTGCATCTCGTATTACTGTGAGTGTTAACAGGTGCTTGAACTCCCTGGTGTGTCAATGAATTGGAAACCTGCCTCTGATTTTTTTTTCCCTCCATCTGTTTGATGAAATGCAATAAAAGCTATTGAGTGCAATTAAAAAAAAAATCTCAGAGGCTGCTCTTTAACCACTGGTTTGTGTGACATCAATGTGTTTCCACCTTGCTTTTTTTTGGTTTGATTGGAGGGAGGAAATGATGGCTCCCATCAGTGCAGCCCTGCAGCCTTTCCCCCGGTGTTTCCCTTGCAGTTCATCCGGCAGCTGCTGGACGTGATCCCGCTGWCGGCGGCGGCCGAGAATGAGGTGGCTCTGCCCGGGGACATCAAGGCCCTGCAGCAGCATCTGTGTGTGGTGCAGCTCTCCAGGCTGCTGGGCATCTACCACGCCATGGAGAAGAAGCAGAAGCTGGCGGTGGTGCGGGAGCTGATGCTGCGATACCGCCACGGCTTGGAGTTCGGTGAGGAAAATCTGTAGCACCGATAATGCTTGGCTTTCTCTTTTCTGATTCTACCCTTCACCTTCCCTGAATTGTGGTTCCTTTTCATTTTTTCCTTTCAGTCGTATATCTTAAAGATTAATGAGGTAGTTTAGATCGTCTGTTTGTGCTTGTGTTTTTAAGCAAAGCCATGTTTTCTCACTTCTGTACATAGAACAAATATCTGGGCAGGAGTTATTTTGTAAATCTTGCAACTGTGGAAGTCAGTTCCCCTTCCAGCCGATGTCAATGTTTGAAGTGCCACAATGTGTAAAGTTGTTTGGATTTCAAGACAATTCTGATTTTATAAATGAAACTGTGGTGCTCTCTCTCATCATGGTGCCACTCACTAATGCTGACTGTGAGATCAGCTGGCAGCACSGTTAGGAATTCAAGGGTAACTCGTTTTTTTTCTCTTTTTAGGAAAATCTTGTTTGAAAACTGAATTGCAGTTTTCAGATTATTACTGCCTGCTTGCAGTTCACCTGCTGCTTGATCTGTGGCTGGAAGGTACGTTCCTAAAATTGTGCCTTGCTTAATACCTTTGTGGGAGGTTGGGAAAGGGACACTGTGTCCCTGTGGCCAGTGAGTGCCTGGCATGGCTTGTTAGGCCTGGAGCTTTCTGGGCTGGGTTTTTGTTTTTTTTTTTTTGCAATATGAGGCATTTTGAGGAGTCCCTGATCAGCTGGTGTTTGACCTGAATCTCACTGACCTCTAAAGGGATTTAATTTTTCTGATTAATTCCTTTTTTCTCTCCCTTTGCATGAGTTCTGCTGACAGCTCCTTTCTGATATCAGAAATGTTTTGAGAGCGTTTCTTTCTCTTCCTCACATACTTTCCCTTTTGGATCCCTTTTTTCTAGGCTTGTTGGGACCTGTTCCCTGAATTAAATATGTCTGTACTCCACCCCTGCTCCTTGTTAGTCTCTTAATCCCACAGTGTCCAGTGCTGGATGTCCATGTGTATATTCCTGCCGTTCTGTTACACCTTTGTCTTTTCCAAGGAAGGTTTAGTTTTTAACCTGAGTAAATCCATGGTCAGATTCCTGGCAGGAAGGTGGGTGTGGGCCCTTGAATTCCTGGCTCTGTAGCAATGTGCAAGCTGGAATTCCCAAACAGCCCAAGATTCATCAAGGAAGGTCACTTTGCTTGCAGTGTGCTCTGTGCAGATGTGAGCTAAACATTCCCTGGGAGGGATAATTCCCCCCAGCATTCCCCCAGGGAGCAGCTGGAGCAGGTGCTACGTTGGGCCATCTGTGAGCTGAAATCCTGGCACTGCACGGAGCGTTGCATAACGTGGGGAGAGGGAATTGTGCTGCGGGTGCTGGGTCTCTGCTCACACCTGCCCATGCTGTGTCTGTCACCAGGTGAAGAGGCGGCCGTGTGGCAGTGCCTGACTCTCCTGGAGGAAGGGCTGTCTCACAGTCCCTCCAATGCTCAGTTTAAGCTGCTGCTCATCCGGATCTACTGCCGGCTCGGCGCCTTCGAGCCCGTCTCAGAGCTCTATTCCAGCCTGGACGCCAAGCACATCCAGCACGACACCATCGGGTGGGTGGTACATACTGAGAATAATCACTCCTGCTGACCCCACCCCTCATCCTGACAGCTGCAGCATCCTTTGCCACCCAAAATTCACCAGATTATCACATTTTCGTGCACTGTCGTGCAAAGTGTTCTGGGATTTTGGTAGGCACATCCACTGCGCGCTCCYCTTTTTGTAGGGTATCTTCCCCGTGTGGTTTTGATATGTGTTGGATTTTTTAGAGTATTAATTAATCAGAAGGAAATTGGTGAAATATCTGGCTGGCTGCCAGTCAGAGCTTGGTGTTGCAGCTTCGATTGCTGCTCAGCAAACCTTGGGAACACCAGTGAAAGCCAACACACCAAAAACCCTTGGCTGGTGTGTTTGGGGGTGTCTCACTGAGCAGCTCTTGCGCACTTAAGGTGAAGAAAGAACTCCAAGCCCTCACCTAGTGCTTTAAAAAAAATGAGAAATAATTCAAAAGGCTAAACTTGGCTATGAATGCTGTTCAGTGCCCAGATTTGTGCTGTGCAGCTGTTTCCCAGGGTGGTGGCTGACGTTTGCCTGGTGCWTTTTGTTGCAGTTATCTCCTGACGCGCTACGCCGGCTCCCTGGGCCACTACGCTGCTGCTTCCCAATCCTGCAACTTTGCACTCAGGTTTTTCCACTCCAACCAGAAAGATGTAAGTTGAAAAAAAGTTCACCTCATGACCTTGTAACACAGCAAGGCATCTTAGAGAAGTGTGTGCCCTGTGCAAGTTTGGGGAAATGCTGTGGTTTAAAACATCACAAAGAGCAGTAGTAGGTGCTTAGTGGTAAAGGTTGCTTCAACCTGAATTTTCTACACAGGAATTTGKGACTTACTGTTACATGAGGTTTTGCTTCAGSTTCCTTTCTAGTCAAGCCAGTTTTAATGCTCCTCATGAAACAGGTATGATTGCTTTTTAATTAATGCTTGTGATTTATGCAATAATTGTGGAGGAATGTCATGTGGCAAGGAAGTGCCAGTCATAAAACTAGCATTTTGGAAAGTTACAGAGCAGCCAGGGATGTTGGGTCAGGATGGGGGTGGCACTTGGTGAATCCTTTATGTTTCAATCACTGGAGCTGTGTGTTTCAGTGGATGGTGTGGGATGTATTTCACTTTAAAGGCACCATCCCATTCTGAGAAGTGGGAATATATTCTGTGTATTTGTATTTTACACCTTGGCCGCTGTTRAGAGGTAGGTAAAGAGGATTACAAAGGTGCAATCCACCTGTAAATCTGGAGTTTGCTCCASAGGCTCTGCAGTCCCACAATTTGCTTTCCCACTATCCCAGCAGTAGGTAAAAACACAGGAATTGTCTGTACTGAGTATTAAAGATGCTCACACAGAAATCACTCAGAAGAATTAGCCTTGCTCTGCTGGCAGCTCAGGTGATTCCTGTGTCCAGGATTGCCATTGCCATTGCCATTTACCTGTGCCTGGCATGGAGATGCTGAGTTCTGTGAGCTGTGTCTGGCACAGAGGTTTTCCCCAGGGATGCACATGGATTGTACARTGGGATGGGAGCTCACTCTGCTCTGTGTCCCTCGGCTGCTCATTGTTTAAGCACTGATTCCACTTGCTAAGAGGCTTTGGATTCCTGGGAGGGAAGCCCTGGATCCAGACAGCTTTATCCTGTGTGTCTGCTGCTGGCAGTGGCAGATTTTTAATGAAGTGCAACTTTTCAATCTCATTTAAAAGTCATTTGGTGGGTGTTAATGAAAACCATCCCTGGAACCAACTGAATGAAACCCATGGCTGCTGGGTCCAGGTGGGAAAGGAACTGAAAAAACTTCTGGATGTGATTCCTCTGCATGGGAACACTGTGTTGTAAAGCATCGAGAAACCATCTTTCCATGGAAAACAATCTGAAGCAATTGAGGTGTGGCTCCCTTGGRAGCAGGTTATTCTGTGGTGTGAATGATGAAGGTGCTTTTGGCAGAGAAGAGTTGGATGTCTGCAGTGGCTCAACATCTGTAYGTGGATGGTGATGGCTGCATTCCAGGTGCTGTTGGCAGGAAAACACAACTCACGTTGCAGAAATCCCAAAAAGGCGCTGCCTTGCTGCTACACCTTAAAATATTGGAATTTCAAGAGGGGCACAAGTGCTGCAGCATGAGGACAGAATTCCTYGTTTGACAACATGAGGATGAGATTCTGGAGGTCACTCACATCATGTTTTGGATGATGTTGCAGCCAAAGGATCACGAGCTGTTGTTACTCTCAGGGAGCCAAATCTCCCGTGTCTGGACACTTCAGTGGTTGTCTCCTTAACATCCTTTCAAAAACTGTTCTTGCAGCCAGGAGGTGCAAAATGCAGGTGAAGGCTCAGTTCAGGGTGCTGTTCCCTGAGGATTGTGGTGTGACAGGAAGGGATGAAGAAGGATTTTTTTTGCCATAAAACACGTCCCCAGTGTCACAAGGTCAGGATTTGCTCCCAGTTCTGTGCTGCTGTGGTTCTGCTGGGGTTGCCCCATTGTRCTCAGAGTCACAGGAGCAGCTCCCACTCAAGCCCTGTAACCACATCTGTGGTGTTAAAGGAGGACTATCCYTTAAAAGATCCCTTTTTGCAGATTTCTGGTGCTGCCTGCTCCTCCCTAGGTTGGTGCTGAGATAGCTGGAATGGCACAGAGCTGTGTGTGGGACTCTGCCTGCAGCAGGAAGTGTGGGATGCAAGCAAAGTGGTCTGGCACAAAAATAGAGCTCCTGAATCAATAGAGCTCCTCGTTTTGGATAAATCCGTCCTCCTGACTTGCTGAACTTCCCAGCCTGACGTGAATCCCGTGTCAGAGTGGTCCCATGAGTAACAGCCATGTAGGATGCTGTGCTCTGGGAGAGGATGCCAAGGACAGGGAGGAGAGAGAAGGCAGCATTGCTATATTTGGCCAAAACTAAAAAGGCAACTTCATCCTCCTCRAGATAGTCCTCCTTCAGCTGTGCAGAACCACCAGTAATCTCTCTAATTTTCTTGTGTCCATCCGTCTTTAATCTCTCCAGATACTGCAGGCAAACCACTCCAGCGTGTCCTGGGGGGATTTAAAAACCACGTGGATGCAGTTGAATTAGAGCCTATAGCCCAGGCCCTGACAGTCACCTCTGCAAGGCTGGTGATCAGAGGGTATGTTCTTGACTATTTAGCTTTTTTTTTTTTTATTATTCAGTTCAAATAACCAAATTACTTAGGGGAAAAAAAAAAAAAAAAAAAAAGACATCCCTCTAGAGGACATTTCTTAGTTTGGAGGGAAAGAAAAGGCGGTTTGGGTCTGTGAGTGTTGCCTTCTGGTCTCTCAGAGCCTTCCAGACAGGTTGAGTCTGTTAGCACTATACAAAATTAAATTAAGCAGAGGCCTTTTTTGGTGCCTCTCATCTYCAGTGCAGTTCATAATCTTGTTCAGAAGAAGATACTTGATTTGCCAGAATTTTCTCAATTGAGTAATTCTGATGTAAAAGCACAGCCAMCCCTCAAGGCTGGGAGCAGAAGGAGTTCACTCTGTGTCTACAGTTAGACATTTWCATTAAAACACTGCCTGTTTGGGGCTCCTTCATCATAAAAATCTCCTTTTTTTGGAGATTGCTTGGACTGAAGTGAAATATTGGCTTCCTGTCTTGTGTTGCTGCATTTCATCAGAGGGAAGGTGAAATAGCCCAKGGACCCTGAGAGTTTCCTTTGGTGTTTGTATTGTGCCATGTACACACTGTGTGATATTGTATCCAAAACTCTAATAAAAAAAAAAGAAGAAAAACAAACAATGTGTGAGTAATTTTTTATTTTTTTTTTAATCTGTGTTGCGGTGATGCGTGATGTGCATATCAGAAAATCTGGGATATATTTCTTCTGCTTTGAAGTGTTTCTCACAATGAAATGATGATTTAATGATTTGAGTAATGTATCTAAACAGAAAAGGAAGGAAAAAAAGCCTTCTAAAAGCATCTCTTCTCAGTGAAGTGTCTTTCATTGTGGAGACAAGGTGATGTTTAGTGTTGGTTTRGTTGTGGTGCCTGTGGTACCTGAGCATTCCCCATTTAAAGCAGCAAAACTGCTGGGGTGACTTGGAGAAGCAGAAGTGCAAATTCCTCCTGGGGATTGAGGATCTGCCARGCCCTGCACCTCTGGGCTCATAAAAACCTAAATTGGGAAGTCACTAACCAGGGCTGTTGTGTGTTTTGTTCCAGACCTCAGAATACATCATCCAAGCCTACAARTACGGGGCATTTGAGAAGATCCCGGAATTCATCGCCTTTAGGAACAGGCTGAACTCTTCCCTTCACTTCGCACAGGTTCGCACCGAGCGGATGTTGTTGGACCTCTTACTTGAAGCAAATATGTGAGTACAGCTCCTGGCAGGGGGAAAATGGGGAATGGGCAGAACACAGGCCAAGAGGGACTTTGGGGAGCTGCACCTGCAGAAACCTGCGAGCTGCAGCTCTGCCCCTAAAGCTTCGCTCTGCTTTTAGTGATCTCGGTTTGCGCTGAGGAGGTTTAAAAAATTCCTTCATGGAAAGGGTTGTCGAGCATTGAACGGGCTGCCCAGGGAAGCAGTGGAGTCACCACTCCTGGAAATGTTCAGAAAACGTGGGAGGGCACTGAAGCCATGGCTTAGTGGTAACCATGGTGGTTGGACTCGGTGATCTTAAGGACTTTCCCAGCTTTAAGGATTCTGTGATGCTGATTTGCTGACCCTTCACATCCCTGTAATGCCATGAGTGTCACATTCCTGACACAGGGAAGAGCTGAGCAATSGTCTGTTAGTGAGTTGTTTTCCCTTTCCAGTGCTCAGATGTTTGATTTAGTGCTGCTTGTTCTTGCCTACAGATCAGCCAGTTTAGAAGAAAGTATAAAGTCCATGAGTCTGAGTCCAGAGGAGGATGACATTCCATGGAAAGATCTGCGTGACAACAGAGACCTGACAGTTTTGTTTAGCTGGGATCCAAAAGACAGGTGATAGAAATATCCTCATATATATGTGTGACCTCTGTAGTCACACATAGCAAAGAAATTCCTTCYAGGGCAATTCCCATATTTCAGTGTTCCCTGGTTTGGCTGCTTAGGCACCATCCACCACTTCTGGCAGTGCTGCCCTTTTAGATATAAATAATTTTCTGCATTTCTGACCTCTCCTTCCTCTTCACACAGTATTGGAGAGCTTTGGGTAGGCTTTTGTGCCTGGAGCATTTACCTGAAGAGCTTTGGTGCTTTTCTGTAGGGACATTTCCGAGGAACATCGGAAGCTCTCCCTGGAGGAGGAAACCTTGTGGTTGCGAATCCGGTCTTTAACGTTGAGGCTGGTGAGCGGGCTCCCAACTCTCAGTCACACCATCCAACCAAAGAACTCTGAAAAGACTGCAGAGAAYGGTGTCTCATCCAAGATTGACACCATCCGAGCCCTGCTGCAGCAGCTGGAAGCRGCGGTGGATTCAGGGAAGAAGTTTCTAGAACAAAAAATCCAGGTACTCATAAGGCAAAAGCTCTCCCCACAATGTTGACCATGAATGCATCGTGCAGGCTGCAGAGTGCATTTAACTGCCCCTGGGTTTGTGGTGTGTGACTGACTGGGAGATGTGCCAGGCACTGGGTGGGATAAGGGAAAGCTGCAACACCTTTATCTTTTTCTTTGCTTCTTGCCTAGTATCCTGTCCTTGGCCCTCCTCCTACCCGAATGGCTGGCTTCTTCAGCAATGGCAGCTGTCAGTGCCAGACTAGCTTGTTTTATCTTGTTAGTGATATTTATGAACTAGATACCAATGGCTTAGGTAAGTGTTTGGGGCAGGGGTTTGACCGTGTTGCCGTGGTGTGTGGTGGGAGGGAGCCACATGTCTCTGTTTAGGCTGAAAACKGCTGGGCGTTGGAGGATGTGGACTCAAAACTGTTACTTGTGTGTTAATTTTCTGTCTGACACTAGATTATCTGAGAGCCARTGCCTTCATTTAATATTTTATGTAAGCCTTCATTTTTGTACACTGTATGTTGATGTAGTACTGGCTCCTCTTTGAAAGCAGTTACATTTATTTTTAATCACTGACACTAAAATGCCTCTTGGTTTTCTGGAAGCAGAAAGTACAGAAGTTTGTACCCTATCTTTTTTTTATTTCTTTTTTTTTTATTTTTTTTTCCAGAAGATTCAGCAGAAATCCAGGAAAGAATAGGGAATAGTTTCAAGTCTTTAGTAGAACGACTGACAGGTAAATGGTRACTCAAGCACAGACACTGAGGCAGAGCTTCCTGGCTGTCTGAGGATGGCTGTGGAGTGTCTGCAGGGATGGGCTGTGGTTTTGCATCTGCAGACCCTGTGAAAGCTTGAGAACAAGGCTGAGATTGCCCTTGGCTTGTGTGCTGAAGCTGCTGCATGCTCAGACGCGCTGTGCCCTTCAGTGCAGTTATCTCACAGCCTGGGCAGCTCCTTCTCCTGGTGCTTGGGTTAGGGGGGTTGATCAAGGGTGTGGAAATAYTTGTAATGAGCCATATTTCAGAACAGATGGGAGAGCTGGACCTTCCCATTATCTCAATGGCCACTGCCCAGACAGCTCTGCACACTGCATTCAGACACCTGGTGTACAGAAAATGCACTTTTAAGATGATCTGCTTCATCCTCAGTAAGGCTTTTTTCTTTTTTTCATTTTCAGATTTGTTCAATAAATGTAAAGGTGATTTGATCGAAGTCAGAGATGGCACCTTGAAAACTCATCCAAACCTGTTAGAAAACTTAGTCTTCTTTGTTGAGGTATTTTTTTTTYCTTTGCAAAGTAGAAATTGGGGAGTGCTGTGGGGTAGAAATATTGGGACTCTTAACACAGTGGAAGTTTGATCTCAGTCACTCATGAGAACAGGGATTTTGTTGCATATTTTAATCATGCTGAGTTTTATCAATAGGAACACTAAMATGAGTTGAGAAGCCTCCTGTAAATATAACTTATCACATATTTGTACCTTTTTTTCCAGACGATTTCTATTGCCCTGTGGGTATTGAGTTACTGTGACAGTGTCCTCCGACCTTTTAAATCCAACYTGCAAAAAAAGAAGAAGAAAAAAAAAGAAAGCAGTGTAGCAATGGTAMAAACACCCATTTCTTCCTCTCTCCCCCCTGCCCTAATCACAGCTTATTTATACTGAAAGAAAAATCAGGATAGATAACATGGTTTTTATAAACTTGTAGAGGTTGATGTGGTGTGATAATTACTTGGGGCTAATTTGGCTGCTTAAAATCAAGTGGTGACATGCCACATTTRTGACATCATGTGACAGCTTTTTAATGGGAAATTATCAGTTTAGAGTGTCATTGACCTTCCTGGCTGGAATGCACCACAGTAAACTTGTCTGGGTAGGTAAATKATAGCTTAGCATTGGTGGGAAGAAGAGAATTACAGACATTGTAAGTGAGTTCTATAAAACAGACATTAATATGTGTTTATAAATGAAAGATCTGTGTTTGTTTTTRTAGCCACCTGTATTCACCCATTTCCTGGATTACGTAACTGAACTCCAGACATTAACTTCCAATGTAATAGATCATATCAAAGGGCTTGAAATAATTCTGACTGCACTAAAACTTGAAGAGCTGTCCCTCAAGGACACTCTGCATTTACAGGTAAGAGATTCCCTGTGCAAACGCTGTGGTCCTCGGGAATTTCTTGTCGGTGTTTGAGATGGTGGAGGAAATTTAAAAGGGGTGTTTAAACAGTTGCTGTGGAGTGAGTGATTTCTCTTTTGCACTTTACAGGARGAAAAAAAGTTTACAAAGACTGTGCAAGGGAAGGTCCAGAGCAGTTATCATCACTCAGTTCAGGAAATTGGAGAGCTGCTGAAAAAGAGACTCGATACCATTAAAAAACTAAAGATTTGAGCAATGCATCCCTGACAGACTCCACARGGGAGTGACACCAGAGTCCCAGACAGAAGCAACATCCACTCTACCATCACTTTAATCCAGAACTTCCTCATAATGCATGAAGGACTTAAAATCATGAAACAATTTTTTTAGGTATTACAGATGTATYGAGCTGATTTAAATTATTGTACATAAATGAGGAGCAGGGACCCTTCCCGGCATTTGACCACTTTTTATACATGTTCATAAGCATATTGCAACAGGAGAAAATTCACTTTCTTCCCTTTTGATCTCTAGAACCAACTGGAGATGGTCTTTAGAAGCAGCAATAGCAATCCAGTGTAAAGCATCTGTCTCCAAGGATATTTTCATCACCATACAGTGTTTATAATTTTTGTATGGTCCTTGCCTTAGAAATGCAGGAATTGTAGATGTCCACGTTCAGCCACCTCTGATGAACTGAGCCCGGCTTGGAGCTGCCTGTTTTGTCTGCAAAACCACCTGGTCCTACTGACAGAATTCCATGTGTTGGTCCAGCAGGGAGAGGTGAGGCCTCCGTGGTGGGCTGGGAATCATCCGTGCCCAGAGCCAGGGGCAGGTTCTTCCAGGAGAGAGCGGGAGGGAGGAGGTGTCTGTGCACATGGGTTGTTTTCATACTCGGGAATACTGCAAATGGGATGAGGAGCAAACTTCAGAGAGAGAGAGATGGGAATGGATGTTTCAGCAAAAACAAGACAAAACCAGAGACCTTGTACATAATGGCTGCAGTGAAGTGTGACACTGCGCTGGTATCATGTCAGTTCAATGTCAAACAGCAACGTCATGACTTCAAAAAAGTGTATTTAGATTACTGAAACTTTAGGACTTCAATATTTTAATAGAAATGAGATCCTATTGGCTTTGGTTTTAAGTTGGCAGAGGTAATTTTTGCTTCGCTGTGGTCTGAGGCTGAGATCCTTTTTGTACCTGTGCGTTTGCTTTTTGCAGTTGAACTTTGATTATCCAAGCGCTGGCTTATGAACCTTTCTGTTAGAAAGTGTTACCATATCATCTGCTCCCACAGGATCTACRTTTCTGCTGGGTTTTTTCATGTTCAAAAGAGCAATGCAGCCTAAAATTGATAGGCAAAAAAAAGTTCATGCACCTGCAATACAAGGGACAGGTCAGACCCAACAGATTCCTCATCTCCTGGTTTAGAGCTGCAGGTATCCGAGTCTAGATTTAAAAGTTCTAAGAGAGCTGACTGCCTTTGTCATCTCTTCTGTTTTGTTAGTAATGCTAGAATGTTGATGAGARTATTTTTTTAATAAATCCCCTGTATTAAAAAAAAAGTCCCATAGCTGCTCTTGCTGGATTTAGTTTTGCTTTGCCCCATCGTGAAAGGGAAAGAAGAAGAATGTCTGCAGGTTGTCAAATTGTAAAGGATGTCCTGATGGTTGACTCACAATGTCTGGTAAGTGCTCTGGGCTGGAGAAATACCAAAATGTGTTAAGTCTGTTTTATAGAAATACTTTTCCTGAAAAAAAA